AGGTTCACTACTCACATGATTTCTTTCTTACAGTTAAATGTTGCTGTGGCCACATTTCTTCCATTGTGCAACCAAGATGGCAAAAGGCTCAGTGACAGAACACATATTTTGCATTCAGAAAGTTCCATGTAGGAATGTGGAGGAATCAGTACTGGGGCTGGGAATCTGATGATTCCCTGGATACAGCTCTTTGGACTCCTTGCCACTTTGTCATAGCCCTGAGTCTGAGTTTCTGGCAAGCACACCCAGTGTCCACAGGGCCATCAGCAGAAATCAAGTCCCATGCGCTGTGCAAACAGTGTACCTCTTCTGTACCACATGCAGCAAGCGACCTGTGCAGGTATCGCCAGGAATGGACCCCTTGCGTGGCAACCGCCTAATCAGCATTCCTCTGCTGTGTCAGGTACAACAGCAGTGGTGGAGGGAAGGGCTTGCCAAGACTGCACAAGCAACAGCCCTGCTCCACACCACCTGCAGTACCCTAACCCTAATCCATAAATGCTTGTGAACTTCAGCTCAGCTCACTTTGTAAGACCAGGCCAAGCATGAAAAGAAGTCTGCAAATCCTAAAGAATGGATTCCAGTGAATTTCATCCCAACCCTAGTTCCAGGTTTCTTTTTGGGATCTTCAGATAGAGCTGGGAAACCTGGACAAGCTCTGATTGTGAGGAAAGAGAGCACTGCAGTAGAAGGACTGATAGTATTCATCAGTTTCTTAATTTCTATACTACACCTATATACAAGTAGGGCTCTTTTGTCAACTTTCAGGAAAATCAGGACAAACACAGGCCAATACAATCAGTAAGGCAGAATCAAAAAGGGACTATGAATGGAAAAGAATCTCCAAAGGTGGTGACCTGCAAGATCTGTGCAATAGTTTCTTTGTTTTTCTTTTTCTTTTGAGATCAGCTTTGCTTTCATGTGCAACACATGCAAGTTGGTTGTCCTGATGAAAGAATAAGTGAGAGTCCTGGAGTGGTGCGTGACCACCCTCAAGGGAATAAGACAAGATAAGCAGTTCTTAGACAGAATGGTGGAACTGCAATGGTGAAGTGAAACATAGAATCTGAAAGAGCGGCAAGTGGCAGCAGGAAAGCATATCATGAGACAGGGGGAAATGACCTAGAAGGGAACATCATAGAAAATATTCCCAGTTAAGAACAGAAGAGCTAGAAAACACTCTATACCCATTGAAGCAGTGGAACTAGTGGAACTATGGAACCACTTGCAGGTACCTGATGGTGAGATTGGAGGGTAGCCAGCAGAAGAACGACAGACATTCCATGCAACAGCAAGCAAAAAGCTGAAGGTCAGTAGGGGTAGAAGACTGTCTGCTATGTGGAATGGAAAGCCATGTATGCCATGAAGATTTGGCAGGTATGCTATCTCCCTAGAGAACAGATCAGAGATGTGATTGAGTGGTTTCCAGTACTCATAAAGCCTTCAGATACATATGCCTTCCTTCTCATCCATATGGGAACAAATACTACTGCCAATAAATGTTTTAAAGAAATCATGTCAGAGATTGAACATGAGGTAGTAGTGGTGGGTAGTAGATATCAATTTTCCTGATATCTGTTGGGAGACAAACTGCTAAACATGTCCTGTCCAAGAAATTCCTGAGTTGTGTTACTGAGAACTTCTTCCTAAAAAACTGGAGGAAGGAACCAGAGGATCAGCAACTCTTGGTTTGGTTCTAAGCAATGGGGATGACTCAGTAGATGAAGTGACACTTATGGGAACTCTGGGGGAAAGTGACCATGTCATGCTTGAGTTCTTTATTCTAAAGTAAGCAAAAGCTTAGTATAGCCATACACATACTGTGGATTTTAGGAAATCCAATTTTAATAATCTTGAATAATAAGTAAGGTCCTATGGCAAGTGACTAATGAGGACAGGAGTCCAAAATGGGTGGGATTTTTTTAAAGGTAATTCTAAAGTCACAAACAATTCCAACAAAGGAAAAATGTAGTTGGCCACAGAATAAGCCAATGTGTCTTCACAAAGTTCAGAGATGACCCAAAAACAAAAAGGACCTGTATGAAAAGTAGAAGAAGGCCAGGCTACGAGAAAAGTTGTCAATTCCTTCCTTGGTTTGGCTGTCTTCCAAAGGAAGTTCTTTGACCTCCCCAGCAAATGTGAAGTACAAGCTGTAGGAACAGGTTGGCAACTTGACATTGATAGACAAATGGTCAAGAAACATCTAATTACTTTGAATGAGATCAGATCTCCAGGGCTCAATTAACTACATTCTAGAATAATAAAGCAACTGGCAGAAGAACTCTTAGAACCACTGTCTATTATCTTTGAGAAATCATGGAAGATTTGAGTGAAATTCCAAATGACTGGAGGAAAGCTATACTATCTCTATTTTCAAAAGGGAGTGGGCCAAGGACACCAAGAGGATCATACTTTGGTCTGTGGCATTTCCTAAAGTTCCTTCAAGGAGTAGTACTTAGGTTACCAACCTCACCTTCTGGAAGAATCTTCTTGTAGGAATCCCCAGCTCTTCCCAGTACTGGCCAAGTCTTTCTTCAAGTGTCTATGATGTCATACACCTGATGTTATATGCTGGCAGATGGAGGGGTGGTCATCTTTCCTACTACAAAGTGGCTCTGCACTTCCACATTGGCTTCCACATTGCCTTAGTCCTGTCCTTTAGCTCCAGATGTCTCTCTCTTTATGGGTTGCTGGACCTCACCAGCACCCTACCTGAGCAACCAGCCCTTACTTTGCTCAGCAAGCATGCTACTGTAACCATGGCATCCCAAGCCTCTCCTGAACGACCACAATCACATCAGTGGGTAGAATGGAGCAGCTTGAGCAGCATCTTCTGGTGATGGTTCATTTTGTTCAAGATACCATTTAGACTGAATTTAGAGGTCACAAACCAAACGTTGATCCCATGCTATCATACCTCATGATGAGCCACACTTAAAGGCACTCTCAGTTGACCATCAGGCACAGGGAATGTCAGGAATTCTTGTCATCCAGAGTTGGGCATGCAGCACGCAGTGGCTGGGATTGCAAAACCAAATGCTAGCTTGTCTGCACTATGAAAGTTGCAGAATGTTGAGAAAGAGGCTAAGTTGCTTGTCACTGTCCCACATGCCCAGAAATTGCTTGATGACATATTTACAGGTAATAGATCAGGACTGGACAACTTTGGCTGTTGGGAGAGGGGGAATTGTTGTCTTCCCTGCAAGCTACACTTCACAGAGCATTCTGTAGGGCAACCACAAATAAATTGGCAGTTTGCCACAAAAATTGACAGTACACCTCCACACAGTGCTCTAAAGATCAAATTTAAAAGCAGAACAAGCTAAATTGGACCCTCTTTACTGCACTGTAGTGCTAAAATTGGCATTTTTTATACTGACATGGGATGACAGCATGGTGGACCACACCAGGGGGGGGGTGGGGACCATACATGGATAACAGATAACATTGCCAATCCCAGTCAGGAATGTCAATGTAATTTTTGTTCCCCAATCTTCCTTTTTGACCCATTCTGCAAGAGATGTGGATCACTGATTTCCAAAAAGCTGATGCAGTAGGAAAGATATGATGGATGAGCCAATAATAGGGTAGATTCTTTGTCATCCATCCTAGAATTGTTCAGCCTTCATGGGTCTGGGTATTATTCTCCTTGTGAGACCTGTAGTAACTGAAAAAAAAAAGATGTCCCTCCACTAGTTTGCAAAGAAAAACTAAGTACCATGGCCCTATATCTGATATTTTCATACCCCAAGAAAAGGTGATGATGGCATCATATATGAAAACAACATTATGTGTAAAAGATGTTTTATATTGAGAGCAGAAAGTCACATTAAACATGGCAAGATGATGTTTCACGATAATTAATTCTGCTGTCCAAACATCTTACAGGTTCAGTCGAATCAACATAGTTTCTTGAGGCCTACCTGAGGAAATATAAAATACACTGACCTTCAAGTCATATCTCATGGGATGGATTGTTAAAACACATGGTTTATTTTTATTTGTTATTAAAATCTAATAGAAACCTTCTCTTCATAAAGTATTGTAATCAGTAAACAAACAGTTGCTGTTATTCTCCTCGCATCTTTTTAGTGTGAATTTCCAAAAGAGATTCATCTCTGCAGCTTTGTACTCACAATAGCCTCAGGCTTTTTGATACTTGCATTTTAAGGCATGCATTTCCTTTTGAATAGGCATAAGAGGTTAGGTACAAAAAATAAGATGGCACATACAATAAGAGGACCCCATCACATTTAGGCGTATGCTCTTTCCTCCATCATTTTGATTCAGGATTATTTGGTCAGTCAACATCTAACCCAAAAGTTAGTTTTTAAAATGTTGCTGATGTATGTTTTATTTGCTCTGCTGTTTTATTTTTATGATTTTATTGTACTATATTGTGGCACAGTTTAGTTTTTCATGTTTCTTGTCTTGCATTTTGTCCTGATAGTCTAGGAAGAAGGGCAGGTTAAAAAGTCATCTTCACCATTATCTTGCAAGAGCCACTATCGGAGAACATACCAGACTATTTCAAACATGTTATTCCCTCCCCAGTCCATCTGTGCCTGTTTCAGTACTCTCTCAAAGCCACAGTGTTAGTTATTTGACTTTGGTCCATTAATTTTAATGGTAGGCAACAATATGCACAATTCTTTGTGGCACTCCTAGAGCAAAGTAGGAGAACCTATCAGCCTGACTGTATTATAGCCATAAGTCTGCAAGATTTTTGCTTGTCTCCCTGTGGATTTCCTGCTTTCTGTTCTCTGGCTTAGTAGAGCAGAATGGGGACCACTTTAATACAGTGAGGGGCTGCTTGAATACTGTAATGTGTACCAGAGTGCCACTATTTTCTACTTCAGACTTAACTTGTAGCAAGCTTGTCAAAAAGGTCATCTTCACAGACCTGTTACATGCTAATCTAGAGAACAGGTTGCTAATAACATCCAGACTTTCAGACTCTGTGTATTTGGTAAATATATGTTGTTTTCATGTCATTTCAGGGAAAGGTGAACAGGGTAAACCATACCCTCTTACAGAAGAAGACAACGATGAGTCTGCTTATCGAGAAAATGGTTTTAATATTTTCGTGAGCAATAACATTGCCTTGGAGCGATCACTGCCAGACATTCGACATCCTAAGTAGGTACACTGAATCTGATTGATTGTTTCATTATGTGTTTTCACTCGGTTTACCTTCTTGTGAAGGAGCAGGATTCAACAGAAGATTAGAAAGGTGTAAAACTGTGATGGTTATACTTTCCTCTTTTGTTTTCATCCACTTGGAGTGAGCAATGGAAGAAAGTAGTCTGTTCCACTGTATGTATTGTCTGACCTTCCAGACTGAAGGAATGTGAAGCTCTTGTGGGCAGAGACTAGGGACAGAAGGCCAGATCCTTGTGGCACCTGGACCAAGCTTTGAGCTAGGATTTCAGGATGTAAAAAGAAAGCCAGTGTGCTGTGGTGGTTAAGAGTGTGAGACTGAAGCGACCTAGGTTTGAGTCCCCATTTGGCCATGGAACCAACTGGGTGACTTTGTGCCAGTCACAGACTCTCAGCCCAATCTACCTTTACTGTGGAAATAAGATAGAGAGTAGGAGGATGAAAGTGATGTAAGCCACTTTGAGTTTGCAAGAAAAAAGCAGGATATACTGTAATAAATAATTAAAATTAAAAGCAATTCTAAAGTGATGAAAAGCAATGATCAGATGCCTCTTTCCATTTCTGTCTTTCCACCACTGTCTGTCTTATTAACAACACTTTTTTTATTAAGATGATAGAGTGTATGGGTGTGTATCAGCTTCAGCTAAATTCAGGACTCCTCTGAAGACTGAATCTGAACATTACTGAAGATTTGGGATTAAACTTACACAGAGATGCAGACAGCATCTCTTCAAAAATGGATATATTTTTGCCTAACCACCAGCAAGAAGGGAAATAGCTCTGTGACTGTTAGAACTATAATACTTCAAATAACTATTTTTTTTACTAATGCTTTTGAACAGTAGTGCTTTGGGGTAGAGCAGTGTGTGGACTACATTTTGGAATTGGGAATCTATGTATTCCCTGGGATCAGCTCCCCTGACTCTGTTCTGGTTTGTTGTGGGTGTGAGTCTGAATTCCTGGCAAGAGTGCACAGCATTTGTGTGGTTCCATGACAGTTCATGAACATCCTTTTGGCTCAGTTCACTTTCTAGGACAGGCACTCCTAGAAAAAAAAGAAATCTGAAAATGCTAGAAGGATGGATTCTGTGGAGCTTTATCACAACCACACTAAGGAGGAAGGAATGATCAAGTAATATATTGCAGGGCTGATCCAATCTTCAATACTCTTTAGTAGTACTTTCTCTTCCAGGAACATAAATAATGTACTAAAAGAGGTTTTGTGGATACTATGGGACCTTGGATCATGTGGCTTTGGGTGCTTGTTTGGAAAATAATGGATGTTCAAGTCTTTCTATGTCTACTACTGTATGTTCCATTCCTGCCCTTTGACCCTTTCTGTTGGTCAGAACTGGATGAAATGTTCAGGCACAGTAGTACCTTATAACATCAAGCCTGCCAAATTTCACATGAATGGGTGCAGGAAGCCTTGTACACGGACACCATTTACAGTTTGGGGCCTTCCAAAACAAAGCGTATGCTTTTATCTTTAGGCTCTGTTTGCTGTTACAGCAATTCTTATGAAAATGACATACAACACAGAGCTGATCCTCATTAAGAAAAAAGCACAATTTCAGAAGGAAAGGTGCAGGATTTTGTGAGGAAGGGGAGAATTCGATTTGAAGGGTGGACTAAAACATTCACTTATCCTTACCAGACCACCATACTGAGGTTAGTGCACACACCGCCAGCTCACTAGCTAAATGAGTTAAAAGAAGAAGAAAAACACAATTGCTTTGGCTCTTTGAAAAACCTAGGGGATGACCTCACCTATCTTTTATCATCTTTATGAGAGATTTTTGAAATCCCATCCTTTCTGATGGGAAGGTGTGAGGTGTTCCAGTGGCAGCTTTGAAATTCCCTGCCCACAGAAGTATATTTTGTCTTCAGCCTGCAGCATTTCAAGCACCAAATAAAGTCTTTTCATTCAAAATAGCTTTTGATTACTTTGTATACACATTGTTGCTGGGCTTTTTAATTTGCAACCTGAATGCAATCCTCTTGTCCCTGACAGAGTGTCCCATGGTCCATAGGATACTGCAGACCCTTCTCTCTGCAGATGGAAAGATGGTCTGCATTAGAAGTCTTCCCATAAGTGGTACTTTGTTCTAAGAGCAGGATCCCCGGCACCATGGCTCATCCACTATCGATGCTTCAATGGCACTAGGGAAAAACAAGAGGCATTTGGGGGCATGCTGGAGGTGTCTCCACAGCATGCCTTCAGCAAGAGGAAATATTTATGCTAGCTGGTAGAGTGAATTTTCCTACCATAGTAACCAACATGACAAAACAGAAAAGAAAAATCAGCAAGTGAAATGACAAAATAAAGGAAAAACTCCTGTGGGACCCACCTCACTCTATCACTGGCCCAAATCCAGCAGGTCTTGGCACTGTCGATTCTTCTAGCATGGCATTCTGCATCCCTGACCTCTGTGGGATTTCTCTATGAGAACACTGTGAATTTGGGGCAGAAGTCAGGTTTTGTATAGTTTGGAGGAATATTTGTATTTTCATTTATATTGCACCTGTTTGTTATCATGTATCTAGAATAATTTTCTAGGAAAGGCTCGGTGAAAGTATCATGATACAAAATCCCCTGGGAAGTTCTCCTGCGAATGCACCAGTGAAAGGAATGGCAGCTCCACATATTCTTAGAGAGCTCCAATTTATTTCAGTGGACAGAATACCTTTCTGGGGGATTTTATTTATTATTAAACTTATATTCCATGACCAATAGTCCAAAAGGACTCTCTAGGTGGATTACAGAGAAGCCACCTAAAATAAAAATATCAATAAAATAACAATAAAAGAATGCTATACATGATATATTGATAAACCAACAAAACACACCAATATACATGATTCACAATATACAATAATATACAATATACAGCCTAGAGTTATGCATTAACACTAGAAATTAAAATTCTAAGACAATACAGAATTAATTCCATTTAAAATTAGCACAGAATAAAATCATTCCCTATATCACATAGATTAATGATGCCCTATATAGCCCTATATAGCATGGATTAATTTATTTGCTGTTTGCTGTTGGAGGTTTACATGATGCACATCTCATTTTTAAGGGTCTATTCAAAGTTCTCCCAAGAAAGCCAAAGCATGCCCTTGGAAACCCAAATATTAATCTGTAACCCAGTGTTGATTTGCATATGATTAATGCAAAGAATTAAGTCAGTTTTATCTAATCTGTTTGTTTTAAATATTTTGTCTTTGCCTGTTGGCTGGCAAAATTATCCCCAGGTCACCTGAAATTATCTACAGTAATTCCCACTGGCCAAGAGTGTTTCTAGTTAGATGGGATTTTAATATATAATTACAGAGCATTAAAGTTACATTCAGTTGCATTTTTGGCATGATAAATATGCGCCACACAACAGCTTCTGCTCCAAAAGGATATCCTGATGATTTCTATTGGTGTTCAAAACAGTGCCAGTGGAAACAATGCAGAAAATCATTAGGGAAAAAATGAGGCTGAACTGCCACTTTCCCCTGTTGTGTTTGTCAATATATCTGCTTCTAATTTGTTTTTCACCCACTGCTAGCCAGATGGGCCATGACATTTCTCAGGATATTCCCCAGAAGCAGGGCATTGTCAGCAGTGCCTTTATTGGGAACATCAGCACTATGGTGCCTGCACTTTCCTTGTAAATAGCTTTCCTGCCACAGACCTCTTTGGCACCCACACCGTTCTTCTGCGACTTGCCAAGAGCACCACAGTATTCAGAACGAACTCGAAGACATCCAGTAACATTTGCATGGAGAAAAAAGCAGTTCACAGCCATATTTATTATAGCCTTATTCACACAGCCATGTGGATACACCAGAAGTCTGTGTTGGGGAGAGGAACGGCAAGCCCCAGCTTGACCATCGTACTAGAACTGGCTCTTCTGCACAAGACCAAGGCATGTATACGGTGTATGCCAAAGACTGGCTTAGGGTGGCATTGTGCCTTACCTTATGGAGGACTCTCTCTACTCCAAGAGCTGTCTTCTCCAGGTCTGGTTTAAACGACCACAAGAAAGGGGGACTTGAAACTTTATTATTTTATTTTTTATTTATTAATTAAAACATTTTTATGCCGCCCCATTCGCCAAAGCCTCGGGGCGGCTTACAACAATAAATAAAACCACATAAATTAAAATATACATATAAAATAGTAATAATAATTTAAAACACACAATATAAAATAAGTTATAACTTATAAATAACGTCACAGCAATAGTGTGAGGAAGGAAGTTGTGCTCACAGGGACCGCAAAGATGTATGTAAGAATAGGAGGTTGGAATGGGGAGTATAAAAACTCTGCTGCCATTGGACCCACATGATCATCTGACCAGTAACTTTGGGGAAAACTCCGTAAGCTGTGGAAACCACACAGGACTGTTTGCCATGATGCATGAAGACAGTTGTAGCGTGCATTTAAATTAGCACAAATAAACTGCAAATGTCTTTCATCTGTTACCCCCTTTTCCCAGAGGAACAATATGTATGTGGCCACCCTACTTTGTTTCCAGGAACTCCGTCTTTTGTTAGGTTGCAAATTAGGAAAATTGGGCCTCTGCAGTCCACTTACACAATGCACACATGTGTAGTCTCTGAACCGAAAAACTAAGAAATGCCTGGAGATTGGAGGTGGGGTGGAGTCGTCTATTGCCACAGTACTTGACAATAGTTCCCTCTCCCTTTCCCTTCAATTTACCCACAATGGTCTCTTGGCAACCTTATGCTCCTACAGTTGTCCATAAAGTGAATAGATCTATTACCCCTATTTCTGCTGATGCTTCCTCTCTCTCATGTAGATGCAATGTAACTTTTATAGCATCTCATTTTCTGGTGTCATTTCGCCATCACTGTTGCTCTGCTCCAGTCTGACCTAATTGGGGATTGGGTTGTCATTGGCCTTACCCCAACCAATCCAATTTAATTGGCCTTCTAGATTCCTACCCTGTAAATTG